AAACGCGTTGCGACTCGAGCGAGAAAACGCGGTCGTTCCGAAGCGAGCGTTTGCCAACTATAACTAATAATCGCGTGGAAAAATCGCATACCGGCGAGAGAACTCGAATACATATAATATTCTGAGTCGTCCGTGCAGGAGACACCGACTGCCTGCAATATAACCATAAAACGAAGATGATAACCGCTGGAAGGTATTGAAAGGTCGCGCGGCTTGCGAAACAGGCGAAGAGGGTGAAATTGAGCTTAAGGAAATGCAATGTCTTGTCGCGATGCCAATTAATAGTTTCGATCGTATCAGTTCAGGGGGGAAATGCACGTAAAATACGTGAGAATTTAGAGAGAGGAAGAAAAAGAAATTAGAAATTTCTGGCCCAATTTCTTCCTTAGTTGATAAAAGATTCGAATCATTTCAGAATTTGAAACGTTTTTCGTTTCGCACTTCAGATGCTTGGACTCGAGGATCAATTATATTAACAATTGGTGAAATTTATTTATCAAATTTTTTTTTAATAGGTTTTTTTAATAAACTCGATTTAATAAATTCGAACGACTGATAAATTTGGCCAGGAGTTAATAAATTTTCAACCACACCGATGTTGGTTGGCATCATGCAAAAACAATCGTGCTGCATATTGTAGGAAAACATTTCGATCATTCGTGTATAAATCAGCGTATCATGCAGTCCATGTAAATCATTGTATCATGCAATAATGTCATCGTCAATGTTCGCATCGTACGGATGTGAAATGGTGGAAAGTGATAATCGAATAATGTTTATAATATCTGCAGCATTTTACATTACAACGGGACGAACATGTATGTTACACGTACGAGAGATATGCACACCATAGGGGTAATCTAGAGACAAGTTAACGAGTACATTGAAATTAAAATTAAAACTTCTTCTAAACATTCTGCATAAATCTGAATTTTCATCTAATCCGTTCGTAAAATGTAGCTTTCGGCTGTAAAGTGATGTGACAAATGATTTTTAGCGAAATGTAAGACATCAGTTGCTTTAAAGTCGATTTTAGTTCTGCATCTAGTAAAA